AAATATAACACAAACTTCTTAATATCTTATCTACTATGAATGCTACCTTTATAATTCTTTGTTTTTCATTTTAAAGAAAGAAAGAAAGAAAGAAAGAGAAGAAAGTAAAGTAAAGTAAAGTAAAGTAAAGTAAAGTAAGTAAAGTAAGTAAAGTAAAGTAAAGTAAAGTAAGTAAAGTAAGTAAGTAAAGTAAGTAAGTAAGTAAAGTAAGTAAAGTAAGTAAGTAAGTAAGTAAAGTAAGTAAAGTAAGTAGAGTAAAGTAAGTAAGTAAAGTAAGTAAGTAAAGTAAGTAAGTAAAGTAAGTAAGTAAAGTAAGTAAGTAAAGTAAGTAAGTAAAGTAAGTAAGTAAAGTAAGTAAGTAAAGTAAGTAAGTAAAGTAAGTAAGTAAAGTAAGTAAGTAAAGTAAGTAAGTAAAGTAAGTAAGTAAAGTAAGTAAGTAAAGTAAGTAAGTAAAGTAAGTAAGTAAAGTAAGTAAGTAAAGTAAGTAAGTAAAGTAAGTAAGTAAAGTAAGTAAGTAAAGTAAGTAAAGTATGTAACTAAAGTAAGTAAGTGAAGTAAGTAAGTAAGTAAGTAAAGTAAGTAAGTAAGTAAGTAAGTAAGTAAGTAAGTAAGTAAGTAAAGTAGGTAAGTAAGTAAGGTAAGTATATTCCTACACAATTTTTTATAATAATCTTATCAATATTTACAAAAATTAGTTCGAAATTTAAATGAGGTATGGTAAAATAATTTTTATATTCCAATCTGAATCTTTAAAAATAACTCTAAATCTCTTTCTTATCCAAATTTAATTTTAAAGATAAATTTTCTTCTTTCATTACTTTTAATTTTAATTATAATTCTCGAAATGTTTTTATTACAAACTATTTTTCTTATTTCTTTATTTTTATCGAATTTTTGCCTTAGAATGCAGTTTGACAACACTTCTTATCACCATGTAACATTGTTTATTATTAGACTGAATTTTTAATTGCCCGGAATGCGTTAATCTCCACCACCACTGTGATGTTGGGGTATTAGTGCCTAGAATTGAAATAGAAATAATATTAAACCATAATATAAATTCTAATTCTTTTATTAAACTCAAGACTAAAAATTATGAAAATTATATGCGAAAAATAAAAAGTGAATAACTCCAATTGTTAAACCCTTAAAGTATGAAAAATCTACAATTATCACGCATTTTTATCTCATTTGCATAGTCTAAGACAAATAATAAAGTAATAATTTTAATAAAACATTATTTTTGTTTGAATATTATCACAATTTGAATATACTAGATTTTTTTTGTAACTGACTATTACAACATCCACCAATCACATTGTATAAACATGATCGACAGTCTTAATGAAAATGATAATTTACAAGTTTGCGACCACCCTTTACAGGTCAAGAAATGCGTAACTGATTACACAAAAAGTCTTTAATACATTGTAATTAAAACATTAACAAAACATACATATAATTTTAAAAAATATTACACATAATATGAAATTATTTTGTATAGTACATAATACTTCCAAAAGAATTAAAATACGCCCACCTTCTAAGGGTTCTGTGCCTTATATCTACAAACCTTAAATGGATCCTTTTATTATAAAACACAAAAAATTGTCGGTCGTAACCAGGGTTGCCATGTCTCCCCCCATCAGCAAGAAACTCTCGCATTTTTTTAATTTCTCCCGCACAATTTTGTTTAGCATTTTAACGTTTATAATATATAAATAATAATTTTGAGACAGTAATTGATTATTTTTAAATAAATTTTAAATATTTATTCGAAAAACATGTCTGGTTTGTAAATTTATTTCTATCTTGTTTTATTTATTTCCAATAATAAATCAACATCATTCATTTCATTCATATTTTATCATTTCATTGTGTCTGTGTATAATATTATAGAGCTTTTAATTATCAAGTTCAGGTTAAATTAAATAAATTATAAAATAATATTATTCTTAATTCAATGATACTGATAATTATTTGATTTATTATAGTTCAATCACATTATTCATAATTAGGGGTGTACGATACCAGTTTTTGGAGGCCGATCCGATATTCTCGATATTGAATTGATATCGGCCGATTACCGATCCGATATCATATCTAATTTTGTATTCTGTAAAGATACCAATGGTTTTAATTTTTAATATACTTTTTATTAGTATAACATCAATAATTTAACTATACCATAACAATTAACAATGCCATTTAAATATATTATAATGATCAGTTATATTCAATTCAATTGCAATTCTAAAAGTATATAAATAAATATTTTTTATTGATAAATCACTTATTTATATAATAAGCAATAACATTAATCTATTTATATAATAAGTAATATACAAATATATTATGAAATTTGAAATAAATATTTAAAATAATAATTAACATATATATATCGAAGATTTATTTTTAGAAATACCAAAATTTCCAATTTATCAGAGGTCAGCCTGCAGCGATGGCAACTGTCAATATCACCAGCTTCACTAAAAACAGATTTTGAAGAGATTATCGCACACTTTTATAAACAGATTTCGCAAAAAAATAACAATATGGCAGAATGTTTATTAAATAATAATAATTATTATAAAAATATACATAAAATGGATTTCGATTTTATTTATAAAAATAAATGGTTTTTTAGATATAACCTATTTTTAAAATTTTATAATATGTTATTTTTGTTTTTACGCCATTTTGTATCTTATCGGATCGGATGAAAATTTTATAATATTTGCCGATAACCGATATTTTAAAATGTATGAAATATGGGCCCCGATCCGATATAAAATATCGGTACCCTGTTAATAATACAGTTCATAAGAACAATTTTTTATTAATATTTACTTAAATGATTTTAAATTTTTTTTAATAGCCCGCCCATTGTTTAAATTTCTTAACCCACCCATCCAACAGCCCATAATCTAAAATATTTTTTTACTCGCCCGCCCATCTGCCCGTTCTTAAAAATATTTTCGCCCGCCCACCCTCCAAATCAATGCAGACTTTTGGTTTACATTCTTTTATATTTAAAAAAGATCGTTGGTTTTTTTTATAAAATTAATATATTTAATAAATCAAGATGTTACAAAATAGGTAAAAATAGGCAACTATTTTATTTTGAAAAATAGTTATCAACTTTGTATTTATATAAAGTAATTATAAAAAATAATAGACGGATAACTAATTCAATTCAAAATCCCGGCTGAAGGCATGCAAAAAAATTTTTTTTAGCAATTTTTATATTTCTACCTCAATTTTTATATTTCTCCCGCAAAATACCAAATTTCTCCCACAATTTGATAATTTTGACATGGCAACCCTGGTCGTAACTATACATCTTTATGGGCAAATCTCTAATTTGAGATTATAGATGTGTCTTGTGTCTTGTCCTTCCCTACCAATAGTAACAGCAACTTGCTTAAAGTAGCAGAGACTTAAATGATCAGCATAAAAATCTTGGCAATTTATATTTTCGCCAATCGCTACTTCTACCAAAGCTTTTGCTTTTATAAAAAATTTAGTTCAGAAAATATTCTTATTCTTTAGCTAGAATATACATTTAAATATTTTTAAATTTACTATGTTTTTTTTATTGTTTTGATACATATACATACATTTTTTTGAATTCTACCTTTTGAAATACAAATTACAATAAATAAATCATGAAAAAAAAGTAATATAATAAATAACTCAGTCAAATAGATGGCATAGTTTTTGCTAATTTTTCTGATCAAATAAAAAAAATTTATAAGTGTCATGTTTTTTATCTGTAAAAAAAATTTGCCAAGAAAAAGCAAATATGCTAAAAGCTATAAGCGCTTCCTTTTAAAAAAATTATGGTGTATTAAATTATTTATTTTACATTATAATCTTCTTGAAATTTTAAAGGTTCATTTTAGCTTACAATTAGGCACATAAATCAAATTGTAAATTATAAAATTGCTATAGGCCGTTGTTTAGAAAATTATTAAACAATGACCAAATTTTATCGACCATTTAAAATATATACTAAGCTTATTTCCTATCTGGCAACTCTTCCAACCTTAATTCTAACCTAACCTTAACCTGCCAAAAAAAAATTTAAAAATCGAAATATTTTAACAAAAAACGCCACCTATCAAGTAATTTAATTTTAATGATTTGTTTATATTATAATTAAGAAAATCAAAATTTAATCTGGGTATATAAGTAATTTATATCTTCAATAGTTGCAGTATTCTTGACATATGCAGTGTAATCAAATCTAAAAATTTACCAGATGATTTTTAAATTGCCCATTTCTTAAGAAAACCCCTAATTTTGTCCCATCCAAGCTTATACTCTCCAACAAAATTTAACGGTTCTAAAACTTCTAATTTATTGCCTCATTTAAGCTTATAGAGCTCGGGTATTTTTTAAAAAAAAAATTCAGACCCGGCCCGTCCCATCAAAATTGAACGATTTATTTATAGTTGACCATAAAGTACTTCTCAGTTAAGCACCTAGGAAACCGCTATTATTAGTCATTAATCATTATGTTAATCTTATCAGAATAATTAAATGGAATAGTCCAATTTGCCCAAGTATTGACTTCAATCAGTTTAAAATTATTTATAATTTTTCGATATATAGAAGTAAATCATTTACAACTTGTAAGTAAATTGAAGTGAACATAAATTATTTATAAATTTATTATATTTTTTTAACGGAAGACGATTTTATAACAGATGATATCATTTCACATGGCATAGGATCCAATGCCTTCCTTTTAAATATTTTATTTATTTATTATATTTTTTTGCTATTCCCATTTAATTTTAAATCTCTAAGAGTTTTATTATAAACCAAATGTTTTGTTATTATTTAAAAAAAAATTATATATCTTTTAAATAAGTATATTTTATATTATAAAATTTTTACTAATATAGAACACTTGTTATTTTATTCATATCTATTTTTTTTTATTAAATAAAACATATGACTTCATAATTAAAATTTTTTATAGTTTGTGATATAAATCATTTAAGCGTGCATATTGTGTATCTGTGTATAATATTTTAATTAAAATCTTGTAGATTTCTTATTTTTGATGTAGTAGATATTTTTAAAAATATTCTCTACAAAACCGATTAATTATGGATTATATTGAAACAGGTTAAAAAATAGATAAGAATTTTAAATTTACTCATTTTTATGAAACAAGGTTGGGGAAAGCAAAAGCATGATCTTCTAAATTTGACTTGAGCATAACCCGAATTATTTTATTTTTATTCTTGAGACCAATTTCTTAGCATGCCTAAATCCATTTTGTTAGTTTAAATGATTAACGATTTTACTGTTTTAAGCTTATGCTAAGATGCATCGATTATAATAACATATAAGATTGTATTGAATATAAAACATATATTTATTAACATTTTACTACTTTAGAACCTTTAGACCTTAGACACGAATCAAAAAAATTAAAATCCGATCCCTTTAATCTCGTCAATACCTCACGGTGTGATAATCTTAAACTTTACCCACACATTTATTCAACGGTTCATTACGAAAATTTATTTAATATAAAAGCACCTGTCATTAAATCCGCACCAACTCCTATCTTCAATCGATTAGGAGCCAAACATCTGCTCAACAAAGCTAGAAAATCGTTCAAATATAATAAAATTCATAATGAGGTTGAAAGTTCGATAAAATTATACAATGTTAAAAACACAGTGGAAAACACCTATATCAATTCAAATGGTAATGAGAAACAACCAGAGTTCAATTTCCCAATTACTTTTTCACGAGCTCAACCCACTTCTTCTCCATTTATCATAACCGAAAATAATTTCCTATCACGGAAAAGAGGTAAAAATTGCAAATATTGTGGTAAATATTACGAGTCAACTTCTGCTCATAGTATGCACGTGAGGACTCATGAGATGAAATGCGTTTGTAATGTGTGCGACAAAAGGTTTATAATGTATAATTCTTTTAAATAAACTTTTTCTCTTAGTCTATTAAAAAGCATCAAAAAAGTAAAAAATTATATATTCTCGATTTTTATAGGATCTGATTTGCATATAAACAGGGACAACGAAGTCATTTTTGCATTCCTGTTTGTTATGTATATAAATCAAGAACTATTAAATATTAATATATTCTCAAAAAATTACCATTTAACAATCGTGCGCGAAATGCACCTTTCAACATTAACTGGGCCTCAGAATTATCCATTGGAATTTAAAATAATTTTATAAAACAAAACAGGCGTTTCCAAGTTTTTTGTAAAGTGTGGGGGCTTTTGGAAATTAATGGCGTTTATACCAAAATTTTATTAAAATGTTTTGGTTTTACACTAAAAAAATTCCTTATAGTAATGAATTTAAAAAAAAAATTGACTATAACCTATTGTTCTATTTTGGGGTAAGATATGTTTTTTATAACTTTAAATGAGAGTATATTACTTAATTTTAGAAAACCAGGCTGGACAATTTTTTTAAAAAATTGAAACCATACCGTGTACAAATATGAACAATTTGGGAAAATATTAAATTTTAATCAGGTCTGGCTTGAAAATTTTGCCATTTGCAGTTCTCAAAAGGGGCATTTTTAAATATTTAAAATCGAATTTTTTCGGAAATGCGTTCCAGCATATGCAAGAGTATCAACAATAAATTTTAGAATTTTGCCTTAAACTTATATTTTATAATAATTTTTCTATAGATTTTTCATATAAACGAAATAATACACAAAAGAGAGTAAAATTGTCTTAAATTTAAAGTATATGCACTCTCCACATGCTTATCAAATCCGATGGCTCAATTTTAAAAATCGCCCTAAATAAACGATTTAAAATCGCGATTCAATATCGATTACGTCTAAGTATGTTTTTTCCGATTATTTTTGAATGTTATCATCTTACGATATTTATAGATATTATGTTCTTTCGGTTGGTTTAATAGATACAGAAGTAAAATAGTTAAAAATCTTATATTTTGAATCGAGTTATATTTTCAAAACTTTGATATGAATCTGAATCTCATATTAAGACGCAGCCCCAAGCATTTAATTCTAAAGCTTACAATATGTAATTTGACTATTATATAGATAGTTTAATGCTTCAAATAGTTTGGTACACTATTAAAAAAATTTGAAAATTTCTAAAATTAGTATGAAATTTAAAATTAAAGAAAAAATATAGAAGCAGCACTGAAGTAAGTATAATTGAAAAATATTAAATAAACGAAATAAAAAAATTACTATCAAATAGATCAGAGGAATACGCAGTGCCCCCCCCCTCCAATCAAAAAATTTAGATTATGACTAAAATATTTTTCAAAAATATTAAAGTAATTATTAATTTAATTTTATAATCAATATTCCTATCTCTTTGGCATATATATTCAAATTTACGTTTATTTATCATACTAACATCAAAAATAACCACGATACTAATGAATTAATATATTTATTTCGATATTTCATTGGCGTTATATTTATTTACCATTATAAAATTTCTTACCTAATCACTTGAAACCTTTTCCCTGCAAAACGAAATAAAATATTTTTAAAAAATGAGATCGATTTGATTAAGACTATGAGAATAGCTAAAATCATTATATTGGAATTTAAGGGAATTAGGGAAAATATAGATAACTAATTTCATAAATTATTGTTGAGTCAAAAGCGGAGGTCTATAAATTTAATATTTGCCTACCTCGACTGGGAACAAAGCAGGCCCATCGTTCCAATATTAATATAAGGTCTGTAACCATAAAATAAATCGTTTTATCCCCCTCTTGGACACTTTTATGACTCAAATGAATGAAAGTTCTTGATTAATCAGGCAGCACTTATAAATCTGCAATTATTACCACAGAATCCTTCCGAATAAAAGAGGAAAAAAAAATATTACCAATTTTTAGAGGATGTTTATCCTGTGATACTGCTATTTGAATACTAACTATGGTATAAAAAAAATATAGTAGTTAATTTCCAATGAATGCTATATGCTTGAAATAATTTAAGGCACATTTATGCTATTTTCCCAATTATTAAAATTATATATTTTGGCAACTCTACACATTAGTAATTTTCTTCCTTAGCAACAATATTGCCTGAGTTTAGCTATTGTTAATAGAGGCCCAATTCTTTGTCTCACCTATGAGAAAAATCTTCAGGCTTGTGTATTATTTTTCTGTATAAAATTGTGTTCGCCGTTTTTAAGAATCGGCTCAAATCTAGCTGCTTAATAACACTATTGCCTCTGAAAATAAATTAAATGGCTTAGCCATCTTAATATACATAAGGAGGTGACACCAGTACTTGAAAAATTAGCTCATGAATTTAATGCTTCTTAAATATATTTTCCCCCATTTATTTATCATTAATTTATATTTGAATTTGTGTATAATACATTGTCAAATTTAAATTTCTGAAACTTAAGATGTATTGTTAAATGATTCTTAGAATAATTGTAAAAAAATACCCCCCCCCCCAAGTAATTTCCTGTGCATGCGCCTGAAAATACCCACCCTTCCCCGTATGACTAAATTCAGACAAAATCAAAATACCCCCTATCCAAAATACCCTTCACCCAGATTAAACCCGCACTCTACCCCCTTCCCCCATTGTAAAGGTCGTTATTAAATTATTAATAAAAGTATGATGAGTATATAGATAATTATATATATATTTAAAGTATAATAATATTATTTTATTTTTTTGAATTCCCAATAGATTTTCCCGAACTTGGTTATTGCAATGTCATATGCGAACTCACACTGGGGAAAAACCTTTTAATTGTGTCGTATGTCATAAATCTTTTACCGATAAAAGCAATTTTAGGGCGCATACTCAAACCCATTCAGGGGTCAAGCCTTATTCCTGTAGTAATTGCAACAAATCATTCGCCCTCAGAAGTTATTTGTATAAGCACGAAAGATCTTGTAGTTAAGCACCTTAATTCTAAAAATAATTTAATATAATCAAATTTATTTTATAACTTATTACAATACAATAATCAATATATATAAGTTATAATATAAAATAAATGATGTGCAATAATTTTCTTTATTATACATAACTTTTTATGATAATTTCTAATTATCTTATTTATTTTATTTTGATGTGTATAAAATAAAATATGGCTTTATTTCGTTTAAGATTTTTAAAAATTTTAAATCAAAAAAGATTTGATTAAAAGATTCTCAACAAAATTGAATAAAATCATAATTCATGTAAAAATATATTTATTACAATTATTATATTTAATATATGACAGCCAGATAACAGGTGATAATTCGGATAGTAAATTTATGTTTTAAACAGGGACCTGAAACTACATTTATAATGTTTCAGTTTGATTACGGTTCAATATGTAAAAAATTATAATGGTTACGGTTCGGTTACGGTTCTTAAGGAAAATTTTTAAAGTTTTGGTTCGATTCAACTAATTGTAAAGGTTCATTACGATTAGAATTTTTTTTCTAAATTATACCAACACCATCGTATAATGGTTTTAATTATAAATATTATTTATTAAAATTTTTACCATCACTTAAGTTAATCATTCCCGATATATAAAAACTGATGATTTTTTAGATTAATTAAATACCACTAAATCAAAAATTGGTTATTTAAATATTTTGCATACTAAAATATAGGAAATAGACTATATGAAGCAGTTAAAAGATTGCGGAAACAATTTAAGTCATAGTGAAAAATTAATACATACTTCTTATGGATATTAAACAAATATTTTGATCATTTAATAATTATAAATAACGACGTAGATATGGTAAAATATGTACACCACAAGGAAAAGAATGTAATAAAAGGTAAAATTATTTATTTTATTTTGGTTGAAACCGGTTCAAACCAATTTAAATTTTTAAATAAAGGTTCTCTTAACTCCAAAAAAAAATTACATCGGTCGATTACGGTTACGGTTCAGATAGCGGTTCATTCTGATTCACTCCGGGTCCCTGTTTTTGAAAAGTGTTACATTTTTTTATATAACATCATCCTCAATAAATTTTTTTAAATATCAATTATGATAAATTCTAATTTTTAAATTTTAAATATTTATAATAAAAATTATGGTCCTATTGGCTTACATTTTTTAGGGACAACCCGATCTGAGAAAATTTTAAATTTTGTCCCGCTCCAATTCGAATGTCTTTTAAGGAGCGAGTCCGATCCGAAATTTAGTTTTTGTCCAATCCAATCTTAATTTATTTTTATTGGACTGTTGAAATAATACTATGATACTTCAACAGCGGAAAAATTCTAAACTCTGAAGGAAAAAACTATTTGTGCTATTCTAGAAAAAAACATTTATAAACATCAGAAAAATTAGTGTTGATAAAGTAAATAATTACAAGTAATTAGTTGCCTGTACTAATTACATTTTTACAAAAAATACTAGTTTCTTTTGCTAATAGGATTAACTGTAACTACTGGAATATAACAACAAGAGTATTTAAAGTTAATTTTTTAAAATATCAGCACCTGAATATTATTGGGTTGTATGGCCACTACGACTAATTTTTTTTAAAGCGATTTTAAAAACACCATGGTCTCTTATAGGATATTTAGACAATTTTTTTTAATATATTAAATATAACTAATCTATGACAAATCCATTTTTTAGAATTTTTTATATACTTTTTGAAAACTGCGAAAAAGTGATTTTAAAAAAGTGGAAATAGAAACTTGTAGTTTATTTAGGTACAATAAGACTGTTAGACTGCTTTAGGTTTTATGTCCAAGGGTAAAAAGCATAGGGTTTTAGGAAATAAGGTAAGGTAAAATATCTATAAAAAGGTAAATAGGGGAGGCTTGGCAAATCACTTAATCTCATTTTAAAATTAAATTGACTATAAGGTTTTTTATCTTAATATAGCATTTATTAATATGCATCTATAGTAGTGTTAATTTGGTTGGTCGTAAATTTTATGACCCAATTTGGTGCGCAGTCCTGCTCTGGAGTCCAGCCCGGGGTTCAGACCTATGGTTTAGACTCAGGGTTCAGATGAATAATGTTATTCCAAATAATTCAAATAAAAATAATAGTATAGAAATAACAAAATGTGATGTTATTTTCTGGGATTAGGGTTAAAAATTTTAAACAGGATCACGTTAGACTTAGAGATACCAAAAAAATAGGATAATGAGTTATTATATTGGTTGCGATTATTTTCAGCTTTACCATCCTAGTTAGGAATTAGATACGATTTCTGGTGATTTGATTAATTTCATCGCTATAGATTTTTTTCTAATTTTAGAAATGTATCTTAGACAAGTACATTTGATAACATTAGTTTATAAATTTGGCTAAATTGAGCTTGATTTGGATATTTAGAATACTTTTGAATCGTTTATATTTATGATGGGGAGGGGGGGGGCTGTTATAAACAAGCTTCTTTTTATCCTGCCTATTCTGAAGTCAAAATATATAAAATCTTCAGTTTACACTTTTATATATGTTGTATTAGAATGATAAAAATTCATTCTATTTTAAATGATTATAATTAATATATATATATATTTACGAACCTGTTGTTAACCATGTATTTTGTTTATTTTTGTGGAAAAAGAAAAATACAGTGGCAACAAAAGAAAAAGAGGTTCATTTTTGTTTTAAAAAAGAAAAATTTTATGTATATACGATGACTGATTTTTGTTATGAAATTTGTTAAATAAAGATATATTGTAGAAGAAAAGATTCATAAATTAGTGAAAAGGCAAAAAAATCTATAATTAATACTTCATAAAGGAAAAAGGTAAAGAATATATATATATATATATACTTTACTTTCATTTTAATATACTTTCATTCTAATTTACTTTCATTTTATCTTGCTTTCATGTTAATATAGTTTGTGTAAATCCCATAATTAGGTAATGGCTAAATACAGGCTTACTCGGTTCAATCTTCAGGCGCTTGCCGGAGAAAATCCGTTAACATTAAGGCGTTTTAATTTATATTAATTTATTCCAAAATCCTCTATCTTTTTAAGAATAACTCCGAAAAGCCAGAATGATAGTTTTCGGCTAAAACTTTGTCCAAACGATTTTTAGCCAGCTAAAATATTTGGTTTGAATAAGTTTAAAATTAAAATTGTCGTAAAATTAAAAAATAATTATAAGTTTTAATTTAAGGTTAAATTTTTTTAAAAATAATATTTTTCTCTTTTCTTTCAAGTTTTTAAAAGTAAATGTGTTATTTTAAAACCCTATACTAATCAAGTTGCAATATGTTAACTATTTCTATATTCAGTGTATGGGGAAATGTGCCATAAATGAGTATGGTTGAAGACTGGTCATCACCTTTTAAATTACTATCTATTGGACCTATTTCTCTCAAAATTTATCAAAATGTGTATATTTATTATATGTACATTATCTAAGTTCATTTATTGAATAGAGCAATCCAATAAAAAAATATTTTAAATAAACTGTTTTTAGTACCCTTTCTGGAAAAATCACGTTACACATTTATTTGTTTGATGAAAAAATTACTAATTTAGATTATTGATATTTTATATATATTATCCTTAGCCATTTCGCATTATTCACACAAAAAATTAGACTTTAAAAGTTTTATTAAATAGACATTTAAAGGCGTTTAATAACAATTGGCAGGTGAGTATTGTCTGGCCATGCATTGACTAGCCATAATTAAGCTCGCGCTAAACAATATTTAGTCTAAATCATGTGATGAACAAATTATACAGACAATTGATGATATAATCATTAATTGAAGATCAACATTGTAAATAGCTACTAAATTTAATATTTCTAGAACAACCTTAAAAAGAGCAATGAATAAATACATATAAACTTTGCATGGGATGCAGTTCAAATAGGTTAATATTCACCAAAGCTCATGAGGACATTTTAAAAGATTAATGATTCAAATTCTACTCCTAGCCTATGTCTACCACTTCCATCATGTAACCAGTCCAATAATAATATTAATTCACAATCTATTCTCATCCAATTTTATATAGTAATAATATAACAAAATAGACAACAGGAAAAAGAAATCAAAAATCTTTACCTCATCACCATGTAAAAACATAAATTAACAAATACTAAAAAAAACAATAAAAAACAATAAAAAGAAAAATCTAAAGAAAACTAATGGTGAGTTGCTCTGCATAATATGCAAGAAGGCATAATAAGCAAGAAAGGTGAAGAGTGGATTAAATCTGCAATCAGGCGCGTACGCAGCGTGGGGGGGGGGCAGCTAAAAAATGCAGATGCCGGATATATTTTTCAAAAATATTATGGTTTATATTAATATATATTTTATAATATTTATTCATATCTCTTTCTTTTTAAATATATATTTAGTTAATCACATTCATTTACTAAGTTATTTTATCAATTAATTTCGATTTCAAGTTTTCCTTGCCGAATATTTATCTATTATTTTCAAATTTCTAGTGGCGTAATATCTATCATTGGACATTTTTTTAAACATATTGGTGATGATGAAAATCCTAGTCATCATATAAAAAAGAAAAAATACAAATAATTTTATAACATTTTATAGCGCTTAAAAAGGTAGGGGAGATTGGGATTAGTCGAACCGATTTTTACAAAATTGGTTATAGCCCCTGTATTTTTTTAGATAATATAAAAAATAATAAAAATAGATATCTAAAACTATACTCTAAAAAGGTGCCTTATAAAAAATTTTAAGAGTTTAACCATTTTTTTAAATTTTATTTTTTGTAAAAGTGAAAATATTGTCCAACAAGTCCCAATAGCGGGGTGAGGCAAACCACTTCAAGGAGCTTCAAAACCATCGGTGTTTTTAGGCCATAATAAATTGAAATGCATTTTTATTTATTAATAATAATACGTATAGAATAATTTTATCGTTTTATTGTTCAAAATATCATAATACTGATAAATTAAAGCTAATTATATATAAAAATTGAAACTTAATTTTGGTTAATTTAATATACATTTTGGGCATAAAAAAATAAGGATCTTCAGGAGAGATTTTGATTTTTAGCATAAATCCTAAATACCAATCATGAACAGCCCTAATTAAGTTTATTAAACATCAGGAATGATT